CAACTTAGGGGGACATTTCACCCTACACCATGTCGGAAGGGCAGGCTTGGAATGAGATCACTTCAAGCACAGCCCATACCTTAAATCCCCTAGACGCCCTAAACCCTAAACCCTAAGCCCTCAATACCCCCAAATACCCCCAAATACCCCCCAAATTACCCCCAAACATGCCCTTAACATACGCGGGTATGGCAAGGCTTGACTGCTGGCCCGAGGTTTGGGACAACATGCATCGAGTGGGCCTGCGCTCTCACTATGTGTTGCGGCTGCAATACTTTTCAAGCTAGGATGCCCAGTAGTACCCTTATTCCCTTTTTGGGGGGTTTAGGTTCCCTTATAAACCCCTTTAAGCAAAAAAGGGCACCCTTTTTAAGCCTTGGCTACTGGGCAGCCTAGCAAGCCACCTTATAAGGCCTTAGGGTTTAGTGTTTAGGGTTAGGCTTAACTCCGAACCTTAGAGCCCCAAAGCATGAAGTCTCTAAAAGCCGGAGGGCAGTTACAAGGTCCTGTTTTCAGGGCTTAAAAAGCAGGGGACACGTTCTCCAAAACCATAACCCTAAACCATAAAACGCTAAGCCCTAAACCTCAAAACCCTAAACCCCTAAGAACCCCGAGACCCCTGAAGTATGGGCCCTTAGTATTTACGATGTATGTACGGGTCATACAGCAAGGGACCCCCTAAACCCTAAACCCTAAACCCTAAACCCTAAACCCTAAACCCTAAACCCTAAACCCTAAACCCTAAACCCTAAACCCTAAACCCTAAACCCTAAACCCTAAACCCTAAACCCCAAACCCTAAACCCTAAACCCTAAACCCTAAAAGGGTTTGGGGTGTAGGGTACAAAGAGCGGCCGTAGGTGGCCTCCTACTACGCCGCCCGGCTACTCCTGGCTGCGGCAGAGGCGGAGCCTGGAAGGTGTGGCTGGAGTTTGGATTTAGGGTTTGGGGGGTTAGGGCTAGCCCTAAACCCTAAACCCCAAACCCTAAACCCTAAACCCTGAACCCTGAACCCTGAACCCTAAACCCTAAACCCGAAAACTAGGCGCGGCTCGTGTTTCAAGGGTGCCCGACTCCGGCACCGGAGCAATCGCACAGGCGACCCCTACTCTGCGCTACCTCATCCTTCGGCGCCGCCGCCCGGCCACAAGCTATTAGGGTTTAGGGTTTAGGGCTTAGGGTTTAGGGTTTAGGGTTTAGGGTTTAGGAGTATCTACTGATAGTATTCCCTTATGGTCGCTTTATAAGGGTACTACCAGAACCCCCAAGACCCTGTTCTAATTATTAAGGCCACAAGCTATTATGCTAGAAGCTCAACGCTACACACCCGTAGATGCCCTGCACCCGAATCCCCCCTTGTTTCGTTCTGCGTTGGGCGGCTCTGAACGCGAAGTGCCCTAAACCCTAAACCCTAAACCCTAAACCCTAGACCCTAGACCCTAGACCCTAGACCCTAGACCCTAGACCCTAGACCTTATCCCTAAACCCTAAACGCTAAACCCTAAACCCTCAACCCTCAAGCCTAAACCCTAAACCCGAACCCTAGGTGACGCCTCTCTTCACCCCGGCATATGGTGCGGGGAAGGCAGCAAGTGACAGGCCGCGCTAGGGCGAAGACTGCTTGAGCAGAGAAACCCCCGAAGCAAGCATAAGAACCCCCCCAAAAAGCTCTTCCTTCTAAGGGTAATGCGGTAATAATTCTCTTTGCTTCTTTTGGGGTTATGTGTAGTTAGTTTCTGCTGTCCTATACAGGGCTGGGGTTTCTAGTGCGGGAAGTCCCCGAAGCCCTGAAGCACTGAGGGCTTTGCCTCTCCCAGCCCGAGCTTAACTCCTCCAAGCCTAAACCCTAAACTCTCTCTCGCCCTCTCTCTCGTTCTTTTTCCCCACCCTCGGTGTTTAGGGTTTGGGGTTTAGGGTTTAGGGACCCTCGGTGTGGGGTTGCTAGATTTTAAACTCAACTCTTCTCCTCGCCCGGAACTCTTCTCCTCGCCCGGTCTACTCCTCGCACATCCCTGGAGTGCCCGACCCCAGAGTGTCCCTGGAGTGCCCAACCGCAGAGTTTCTCTACCCAGACAGGATGGGGATGCTCGAAGTAAAACAATTTAATCTGTTTATTTGGAGGGTCTTGCAGGTGATCGCGCTTTAAATAGCAGGATGACGCTAGCCGCAGTGAAGGGACAGTCTCCAGGCGTCCAAAACCCCAAAACCCTAACCCTTAACCATAAACCCTGAACCCTAAACCCTAAACCGCAAGCTCTAAACCCTAAACCCTAAACCCCCAAAACTCCTAAAAAGCCCTCCGCCCTTGAAGCCTCGGAGGCTCATCCGCGACCTGCAGGTCGAGTTGGGGCCCTTGGGGGTGGACTGCGTGCTGCCCGGCTGCGGTTTAGGGTTTAGGGTTTGGGGTTTGGGGTTTAGGGTTTAGGGTTTGGGTTTAGGGTTTGGTGGGTTTGGGGTTTGGTGGGTTTGGGGTTTTGGGGGGTTTCGGGTTTAGGGTCCAGCCTGTCTAGCGTCAAAGGGTTTCTGTCGGTCGCCCACAGAGGGCTGATCTGTGCAGGACGGGTGCAATTAGGGAGGTGCTGCCTTGCACGCCACACTGGATTCTGTAGGGTTTCGGGTTAGGGGCGAGGGGGGCCAAAAGGCCTAAGCCCTCTGACCCACAAACTCTGCACACGGAACCGTCAATCCCGCACACCCCCCCACCACCCCACCCCAGCCCTCGATCCGAAAAGCCCTGACCACCACCCGCCCGCACAGCCCTAAACCCGAAATCCTCAGCCCTGAATCCTACATACGTAGGTCCTTTGACTGAACTAAACCATACTTCGAATTAACCCTAAATCCTAAACCAGATTTCCTTGTGCAGGTCCCTCTGGCCCGGCATTGTCCTGACAGAGAAAGTGCCACGGCAGAGCGTGAATCGAACTCCAGAGTTTAGGTTGCAGGGACCTCAAACCTATTTCTTTGTAAATTATTTTTTCCTGGGTCTTGAACCACCGGTCGGATGCCAGGTCCTAGTGCGGTTTAGCTTACGGTCGAAGGGTTGACGGTTTAGGGTTTTGGGTTCAGGGTTTAGGCGGGTTTAGGTTCCCCCTCTTCTTGGCAGCTCAGTCCGCGGTAGCTGCTGAAAATATCCGCGTCAGCATTCAGGCACACCGCAGACTTGGGTCACACCCCACAATCCCCAAACTCCTTAACCACTCCACCTCGAAACCCGACTAGACCCTACGACCTATACAGTACACAAGTACAACCTTAAAGCACCCCACAAAACCTGCTGACCCCACAAAGCCCACAAACCCGACAAACCCTAGTCGCAGTTCCTCAACCCGAATCCTGAACCCTGGTCCTAAACCCCGGCTAGCCCTAAACCCTAAACCCTAAACCCTAAACCCTAAACCCTAGAAAGCCCTAAGCTCCTCAACTTGCGACCATGGCGGCGCCGGCCTGGTCTGTGGCGGCGGGCGTTGGACGCCCGGCTGCGGTCCGCCCAAGGACCCCGGTTTAGGGGTTGAGGGGTTGACGGGTGGAGGGTTTGTGGTTTAGGGTTTGGGGTTTAGGGTTTAGAGGTTCGGGTTTGTGGTTTTGAAGCTTCGGGTTTGGGCTTTTGGAGTTAAGGGTTTAGGGTTGAGGGTTTGGGGGGTTTGGAGTTCAGTTAACTTGGGTTTAGGGTGTTGGCTTCACGGTTTAAAGGGTTTATGAGTTCAGGGCTCCTAGGGGTTCAGTGCTTAAAGGGGTTTAGGGATTTTGGTAGCAGCTGTAGACGAGGGCTTGGGGTAAAGGGTTTGGGGTTCGGGTCTAGGGTCCAAGGCCAAGGGTTGGGGTGTAGGGTGGAGGATCTGGGGTGTAGGGGCTTGGAGGACTTTTGGGGGGTGGCTTTAGGGTTAGGTTTCACAGTGGGAGCAGTTGTGTCCCTAGTTTCTGTACATCTAAAGTTCTTGCATTCCTGAGAGCACCAAACCAAATAAATGTATGCATGTATATGTATATATATATATACATATATCTATATATAGACACACATATATATATATATATGTATGTATCAATGATTTCACATATGCTGTTTTCATCTTGCAGTTGTTTGGTAGCCCTGGCGAGTTGTGTTTGTTCGTTTGGTTGGGTTCGGAGCCGCTGGAGACGGTAGTTCCAGAGTTGCCAAAAAGGGCGATTCAGGGGTTTTGTTCCGAGATGAGCTGGCAGCCGTTTAGTGAGAAGCATCAAGCCTAAACCCCTAACCCCGATAAGCACAGGCATGAACATGCTTCAAGCTACGTAGTACAAAGCTAAATCAGGGCAAACGCCCAAAGAAGACCGCAAAGCCCAAGCCATCCCAACCACCAAGTCCGAATCCCTAAGCCCGTGCAGTCCTACTCGTACGCCTTTGGCTTTAGGGTTCACCATCCAAAGCCCTAAGCCCCATAGGGTGTACCTGGGACTCTCTTTACCTACAGCTTACTGGGTCATGCCAGCGAATTAAGGGGTAGTTGCTCCTAATTAAACTGTAGGTAAAGAGAGTCCCAGGTAGGGTTCTTTAGTGCCCAAATCCTACGCCTGGTCGCCAGGGAGCTGGCTCAGACCACTTCTTGTCTGGCCTCGCGTGACCTCCGCGGCTGGTGTGGGGGGAGGGGCGCTTGTTCTAAAACATGGGATTCTTTTGTTCACCTAAAGCTGCAGGTCTAGGGTTTAGGATAAGGGTTTTAATTAGGGTTCAGGGTTTAGGGTTCAGGGTTCAGGGTTTCGGGTTTAGGCTTTAGGCTTTAGGCTTTAGGATTTTAGGGCGCACGAACAATTGAGGTTCAGGGATGCACGGAGGCATACTTTAGGAGCAATGCTCATGCTTGTTCAGAGGACCATGGGTGACCACAGAATCTCTGAGTACGGTCTTGCATTTCTTGCTCGAGCACCTACTTGTGCGTGAGCGACATACTTCACCAGGCATAGTTAGTATTGTAATGGTACAGTGAAGTGATTCGAACTGACCTGTTGAGACAAGCAGCAATGGGGCTGGTCGACAAAGTCCGGCCAGCACGATATGTCATGTGGATGAAGCTCGTGATTCTTGGATATACGGTGGTCCGAATCGTTGCCAATCTGTCTCTGCTGTACCCGTTTGAAGATGCCATGCGGCAGTATTGGGAAGAGGATGACTGGCGATCGTATGCTGGCTATCCTGCGCGGTGGGCTTACATCTGCGATGCCATTGTGCGGCCCGTGATCACGGGCTTGGGAGTCTTCTGGTTTCTGGGCAGCTGTAAAGGACATACAGTTTAGGGCTCAGGGTTTGGTTCATTTTTTGGGCGGCCCTGGGTTCCTAAGCCTTGCGCTATCCAAGAGAGGAAACCCTAAACCTAAACTCCAAACCCCAAACCCCAAACCCTAAACCATAAAGCCATAAACCCTAAACCCTAAACCCCAGACGTGCTTCTTTTTTTCTGTCGAGGTTCATATATCGGAGAGATCGCTTTGATGCGAAGTCGTTGCTGCACCGTTGGAGCCGGCGCACGGTTTGCCTTCTCGTTTCTCGGCTTAGGGTTTAGGGTTTAGGGTTTAGGGTTTAGGGTGTGTCAGGGGAGGGCGCGCGCGCTCGCGTTGCCCGTCAACCCACCCCGGCCACCCAAACTATACTCTATGAGGGTTTAATTAGGGTTTATGGAATTTATTTTCTTGTGCCCTGATGCTTGCTTTGATGTTTTTAAAGTTGCGCTGTTAGGGTTTAAGCTGGGGTTGGGGGTAGCCTCGGCCCTTTTCGGGCCTGCGGCGTGTCAGGGCCCGTAGAGGCCTTCATTTATTTGAAGGTCAGGGAAACCCTTTGTGCCTGCTCCTGGATTCCCCTTCTTTAAGGCCCTCAGGCCTTTTGGTGGCTCTGGGGGCCTTTTGGGGGCTTCCTGGGGGCTTTCCTGGCCCTTCCGGGGTAAAATGAAGGGGTGCCCAAAACCATCGATTTCAGTACCAAAAAATCGCAGTTTTCATTGCGGGTACGGGCATCCTGGGGTCCCCTTGTTTTAGGGGCCTTTTGAAGCCTTTTGAAGCCTTTTGGTGGCTCTTGGGGTCTCTCGCCCTGTTCGGACCTTCGGCGTGTCAGGGGCCGTAGAGGCTTTATTCATTTGAAGGTCAGGGAACCTATTAATTATTTTTTCGCCAATGCGTATTTCAATCGCTAGGGTTTAAGCTGGGGTTCGGGGTAGCCTCGGCCCTTTTCGGGCCTTCGGCACGTTAGGGCCCGTAGAGGCCCTTATTTGCTTGGAGGCCTTCGCAGGGTTTTGCGGTGTTAGGGTTTAAGCTGGGGTTGGGGGTACTCGGCCCTTTTCGGGCCTTCGGCACGTCAGGGCCCGTAGAGGCCCTTGCTGATTTGGGGGCTTCCTGGGCTTTCCTGGTCCTTTTCGGGTGAAATGGAGGGGTGCCCAAAACCGTCGAGTTCAGTACTAAAAAACAACATGTTTCATTGCGGGCAGGGGTGCCTAAAACCATCTTCAATATTCAAAATTCGCATTTTTCATTGCGGGCACAGACAAATCTTGTGGTCCCCCTTCTTTTAGGGGGCCTTTTAAGCTTTTGAAGCCTTTTGGTGGCTCTTGGCGCCTCTTGGGGCTTTCTGGGCTTTCCTGGCGCTTCTGGTGTACAATGGAGGGGCGCGCAAAACCATCCATTCCAGTAAAAAAAAAAACATTTTTCATTGGATGGTACGGCCCTCTTGGCCCGGGGCCTTTGGCGCGGGGGCCTTCCTCTAGCCCTGAACCCAGGCCCTTGACCTTTGTTGGTCCGCCATGAAGGTTGGCCCCTTGACCCAGAAAGGCCTTGACCCTGAAGGCTAGGGGGTCCTTGGCCGGGGGGAAAGGGCCCATCCCTTCGGCTTGGCCCGGGAGCGGGTGTGACCCCTGGACCCCTGGCCAGCCTCCTGGTCCAGGAATCCAGCCACCAGGGGCCAGGGGGCCGCTGGGGCGGGGCCCGACAAACCCTGAACCCAAAACCCTGAACCGACCTCCAAGGCAAAGGGTTACGCTTGCGGGCTATGCTTTAAGCTACGCTAAAGGTGGTCTGGGTGCCGGCCATCCCTTAGCCGAGTACTGACGTTGTCGCAAAAAAAGGCCGATGTCCGTTGGCCTGTCCAGGACAGACAGTGAGGCTTAACCCTCACCTTTTCCGTTTCTCTTTTCGCTTGGGCGCTCGGGCTGTAAGGCCCTCGGCCGAGCGTTCGGGGTCTGTCGCTCGACGGAAGCGACCCCTCACTTAGTTTAGGGTTTAGGGTATAGGGTATAGGGTTTAGGGTTTAGGGTTTAGGGTTTAGGGTCTTCCGGACAGCTTCTTCTGTCAACGGACTGTGTTTAGGGTTTAGGGCTTCGGGCTTAGGGCATGGGCTTATTTAGGGTACTTGTAGCCCTCAACCCCAAACTTAAACCCTACACCTGAAGCCTTAAGCCCTAAACCCTAAACCTAAACCCTAAACCCTAAACCCTAAATTTAGGAGCCTCCGGCTCAGGCCGCCGACCCAAGAGGCCCGAATCCTCTCAACCCTCAAACCCCGAACCCTAAACCCCATACCCTAAACCCAGAACCCTAATCTCTCAAGAACCCTCACTCCAGGTTTTGAGCGTTTGTGGGTCTAATGCTCTTTTCTTTAGGGTTGCTTAGGGCTTTGGGTTCGACCTTTGGGGCAGGTTTGGTTGGGCTGTGGGGGTGGGGGGGTGGGGGGGGGATGGGGAGTGGGGTGGTGGGATGACTCAGTGGACGGTTGCAGGGGCTGCGGGTGTTGGGGGGTGGGGGGGTGTGGGGGATAGGGGGTCGGGGGGTGGGGGCGCGTGGGGGGTAGGGGGGGGTGGGAGGGGGGTGGTGGGGGTGGGGGGGGGGCGTGTGGCCTCCAAAAATTGTGACCCCCCCCCCACCCCACCCCCACCCCCCCCACCCCCCCTGGGTGTAAGGAGGGTTCCCTCCCCCAAAACCATCCAACACGCCGCCAGGGTCGGCGGACCCTAAACCCTAAACCCTAAACCCTAAACCCTAAACCCTAAACCCTAAACCCTAAACCCTAAACCCTAAACCCTAAACCCTAAACCCTAAACCCTAAACCCTAAACCCTAAACCCTAAACCCTAAACCCTAAACCCTAACCCTAAACCCTAAACCCTAAACCCTAAACCCTAAACCCTAAACCCTAAACCCTAAACCCTAAACCCTAAACCCTAAACCCTAACCCTAAACCCTAAACCCTAAACCCTAAACCCTACTTACAGGCACCCATGAGCCTCCAAGTAGGCCCTGTTGCAAGAGACCCGACAGCCTCAACCGAACTGAGGGTTCAGGGTTTAGGGTTTAGGGTTTGGGGTTTAGGGTTGAGGGTTTGGGGTTTAGGGTTTAGGGTTTAGGGTTTAGGGTTTCAGCTCCAGGCTTGTTGTGTTACGGATGATTGGGTCTATTTCTGGTGGTATTGTGACCTGGCTACGGTGTATTCATTGGCACTTCCTGCTGGAGATCAGACCTTCCGGTTTGATTGGCCAGGTTTGTTGTATGATTTTGTGCTGGTGCTCAGCAATGGGCTGCAACTGCACATGGCAAATCTGAAGCTCCAGGCGTTGGGTTGGATCCGTGTGGCGCGTCTCTGCGCCGTGCTTACGACTGTCATCGTTGCAGCTCTTCTTGCCTTTGTGCTTGCAGATCACTTGTGGTCGTTTTGCATTCTGATGCTGAGTTGTCAACAGGTTTTGTCGGCAGAGCAGTTTCGAACCCTTGACGAGATGTACAGAGCGGCACATGTAGCTTTCAACTGGTGGATTCGTCTCTCGCCTATTTTCCATCGCTATGCTGATAAGCATGCAAACGCCAGATACGCAGAGAGCCCTATGACGTTCCATTTTGAGACGAGCCTCGGCCACGGCATGTTTATATACTGGTTCTACATCCCTGTACTTCTGCAGACTGTAGGCTTTCTCTACTCAGGGTTGAGAGCGCTGGCCAGTCCCAAGCGGGGCTCTGACGTGAAGTGGACAGTGGCCTGTTTGGCCACTAATTGGCTCCTAATTGTAGTCGGAATCTTCACTTCATCTTTTGGCCGCCAATGGACGGCGTCGACCATCGGGCCTACGAGACGATTCTACATTACAATTGACTTCACTCTGCAAATCTTCAATGCTCTTCTGCTGAGCGGCATGATGGGACCGCAGAAGTGGGTAAACCCTATTGCAAGCTTTCAGAAGCTAGCAGAGGAAGCCGGTTTTGGATTGGCGAACAGGCGCGTCGCATTTCCAGGACAGATAAACGAGTCGGCTCATGACTGCATCGTCTCATTCCCAGGCAAGTACAGCAACTTATGGGATGAAGCCGTGTCAGTTTCAACTGAGAGGAAGGACGTGTGCTCCTTGGCGTGCGTGTTTCTGACTGACAGAGAAGCAGGGCTAGGCCGGCACGTGGACAACCCTGACACCCCAGGGACATGTTGGTGCCACGTCATCTATGGCCACATGCCCGCCTCCGCCTACATCAGCGTAGCTGACGCGTCTGCAATTGACAGCCAAGCTCTGGCGTTCCTGAAAGCGGATGCTAAGGCCATGGGTCAGCTCCTCCTTCTCAAACAAAGCCAGGCAGCATGGACCTGGGATGAGCAGCTTGCCGAAGCCAAAGAGAAAGCAGAAAGCCTTTGTCATGAAAACCACGGCCGTGCACCCTGGGGTTGCAAGTGGTTCGGGGACTGGAAAAGCAACGTCGACTCTGCTGTCCGCCTTGGCCAAACCCTGCATGTTTTCTATTTTGAAGACAGAGTCGGCGCGGGCAAGCTTTCCTGGGAACAGCTTGGGAATCAAGACGCCAGACAGAGAGCACGCGAAGTTGGTGGTTTGGGTGCCTCACAGACAGCCGAAGTTGCTTACTTAGATAAGATGGGCCTCCCATACGTCGAACATGACATCTCAGAATTCACGGCGCTGGTTGCAAGTCACTACGTGGTCTGATGATACCTCGCTTGAAACATCGCTTGCTCGGAATTCTTCTAAACCTAAACCCTAGCCCTAAACCCTAAAACCCTCAACTGGGTAGGGCAGTCCTTTCCCTTGCAAGCCAGTGCAGCAACCAAAGTTGTGTCCAAAAAGCTGGGGTTCCTGGCATGCTGCGAGGGATTGAAGGGTTTTGGGTTTAGGGTTTAGGCTTTGCAGGCCTATCTATCTATTTGGAGTTTTTGGGTTTTTTGGGGGCAGTGTGTATCGTACACGTGTAGGCGTTATAAGGCTGGAAAGGGTCGTCATTTCGGCCTCCGTGTGCAGGCGCAAGGTCCTTGGATGTGCTGCTGCAGCCCTCAACCCTAAACCCCATAAGCCCCGAAGCCTCAAGAACCCTACAAGGTGGGGCCCCCTTACTATACTAACTGTAGTTCAGGGACTTGTAACCTAACTTAGGGTCCTTATAACCCAATTTAGGGCCCTTATAACTCTACTTATAACTAGGGGGCCCCACCCTGTAGACCCTACACCCCAAACGTTGACGAAAGGGCCCTGAAGATGAGAAGCTCGTTGAGGCCAGGTAGTAGCCGAGGTGCGCGCGTGTGCACTTCGGCTGGCCGCGGGCCCGTTCATTCTGTGGGGTAGTTTTTGCTTACAGGGCTTAGGGTTTAGGGCTTCGTACTACGTAGGGTTTAGGGTTTAGGGACATTGGCTGCGCGTTGATTCGGCCTAGGTTGTGCCAGAATTCGGACTTCGGGGCTCGAAGTCGTTCTCCCAAGAGCCGGCACCTCAACCTTAAACCCAAATTGCACCCCAGACCCCCACAACATCATTGTGGAAGACCCAATGGCAGACATAAAGCCTCAAATCCCACAGTAAGGCGAAGACCCAAATCTTTTTGTTGCTTGCGAAATCGTTTAGGGTTTGGTTTTTAGGGTTTAGGGTATGGGCCGCTGCGTGCTGCAAGATCAACTAGGTAACTAGGTTGGCTTGGGGATCTTTGATGTTTTCCTTGTTTGGGTTTACAACGGACCACATACAGATTTATATATATATATATATAGACATATGTATATATATGTATATGAATATCAAAGGGTTGAAAGGCCAACCCAGACAAATAACTAGAGACCTCGAAAGGTACCTCAATGCGATTGGCTGCGCTGGGCGAGATGGCCGTCAGTCAGTGTGCCGTCTTTGCTGCAGCGCCGCAGCTGCAGTGCTTTGTGAGCCCTAAACCCGGAACCCTGTGCTCTCAACCCTGGCCACAAACACCCCAAAGGCTTGGGGTTAGGGTTTAGGGTTTATAAGAGTTTAGGGTTTAGGGTTTAAGGTTTAGCGTTTTGGGCAAACCACACACCCTAACCCCAAGCCACCAAACGCGAATGGCAGTTCCCAGCCCTGAACCCCAAAGCACGAAATCCCAATCCAACCCTGATTGGAGGTTCAGGGGTACTAGTCAGATAACTACTTATACCCCTACTTGTAGGTACCGTACCTTAGGTACCCATGAACCTCCAAGCAGAAGTCCTAAGCCCTAAGCCCTCGACCCTAAGCCGCAAACCGTTCATGGAAACGTGTGCGAAGCTCTGGGCCCCTCTAATTTTTTCGGGAGTTCCGCAGCCTCTGCCAGCTGTCCAATTCAGCCTTTAGGGTTTGAGGGGTTAGAGTTTAGGGTTTAGGGTTTAGGGTTTAGGGTTTAGGGTTTAGGGTTTAGGGTTTAGGGCGCGAAAACGTAAAACCCTTCCCGAGGTTGCAGGGTCCTGCTCTCTCACTATTCGGCTTGCCTCAAGAAGAAGGACTGGGGATTTCCGCAGTTGAGTTGAGCGTTCGGGGTTTGCTTTAGGCACCAAATCCTAAGCCCTAGCCCTGAAGACTTCAGCTACGCAAACCCGAAGCCCTGAACATTTTCGGCCCTAGTCAACGGAGGGGATGTCGTTTCTGTCGAGTTTTCTTTTGTTTTGCGGGGGGGGGGGAGGAAACCCTAAACCCTAAACCCTAAACCCTAAACTTGGGGGGAGGGAAGGCGGGAGGGAAGTGGGGCAAAGCGGGTGCTTAGGGCTTTCGGATCGTTTCGGGGTTTAGGATCCAAGGTTTCCCGCTCAGGGTTGACTTGGAGCTTCATGGGTACGAATAAGCAGGGTTATATGCACCCCAAATGAGGTTATAATCATAGTTACCCTGCTTATAGCCCTACCTTTCTGTCGCCATGGGGTTCCGTGTTCATCGTTTGGAGGATTGAGGCCCCCACTGGTTCATGGCAAGCATTTCCGGACTCATTCCGTGTCAGCAGCTTGGAAAGGTCTAAACCCTAAAGCCTAACGCCTAAAGCCTAAAGCCTAAACCCTAAACCCTAAACCGAAAAAGGTGATTCCAGTTAAAAAAAACCTAAACCCTAAACTCTAAACCCTAAACCCTAAACCCTAAACCCTAAACCCTAAACCCTAAAGCCTAAACCCTAAACCCTAAACCCTAAGCAGGAGGATCCTGGGGCCAGGATCCTGGGCCCCTCAGCCTGGACTGTTGTGTTGGGGACTTTGAGTGGCATGAGGATCTCAGGTTTTTTTTGGGTTTAGGGTTTTTGGGTTTAGGGTTTAGGGTTTAGTTAGGGTTTAGGGTTTAGGGTTGAGGGCTTAGGGCTTAGGGTTTAGGGGTTAGCCCAGGGTATTGAAGCCCCAGCGTGATATCACTGCACCACGAACCCCCGCCCCTAACTAGGACCCAGAGTATGCCCTCGGTGATTTTTTTTTTCGGGCTTTGGTTCCCTTATAAGCCCCTGTAAACCCCAAAAGGGTACCTTGTATTCCTGGGTTGCTCTTTGGGTCTAGTTGGTTACTCTTTGGGTCTAGTTGAGGTGGTGTCTTTGGGGTTTTGGGGATGAATGTTGAGGGTGAAGGGCTTCCGAACAACCCACGCTCTGAGCCAACCCGAAACCCCCCTAGCCCAGAAGCAAAGATACTAGTCAGGGCCTACCCCCCTAAACCCTAAACCCTAAACCCTAAACCCTAAACCCTAAACCCTAAACTTTAGGGTTTAGGGTTTAGGGGCAATGCCGGACCCCTTGCTGACACCCTGCTACTCATGCACGCGCGGCAGCTTGGGGACCGACATTGTTCGGGAGAATCTTGCAAAGGGCGGACGTGTGCCGCAGAAGAACCCGCGCACGTCCCGGCACAAGTGGGGATGTTAGTCCCCCGTCTCGGAACCGTCACTTCTTTCGACTTGCTTCCTCCACCACCCCACACCCCAGGGTGCCGAAAGAACCGCCCCATCCGCCACCTTGGCTGAATCGCCGAAGGCGACCGACAAAACGGACGAAGAAGCGGAAAGCTCAGGACTGTGCCGCATTTGTCGACTTCGCCCCGTACGCCGCAGAAGTCGCACTCTGCTGGTCTGCTGTATCCGGACAGGACGATGACATGGAAGGAGCCAGGCAGTCAGGAGACGTTTGGGAGGATCCAAAAAGTAGATCCCCCCTTTAGGGTTCCCAAGAATGACCCAATAGTAGTACAGGGTACTCTTTGGGGTTCTTCTTTTTGGGGACTGCAATCGGAGAATTTGGGCCCCATAACCCTCAAAACCACCCTCTAGGATTCGGGGGAGGCGGGTTCTCGGGTTTCGTGTTGCAGTTCCGCACCAGTGCTTTGCTGGGTTAGGCTTCAGGTTTTGTCCAGTGTTCGGTTGCGCTTCTTTGTTTTTTGAGGGCTTGCGGGTTTTAGTGTTTTATAGGGTTCTTAAGGTAGGGGGGTTCAAGGGGGGTCGGTACCCAGGGAAGCTTAGGGAAGCTTAGGGAAGCTTAGGGGGCCTTGGGAGAAGTGGGGAGACCCCCCTTGAACCCCCGCTCCCTTAAGAACGCTATAAGTTCAGGGTTTGGGTGGAGGAGTAGCCTATGGGAGCACTGAAAAATAAAGCCCTAAGCCCCAGTGAACCCTAGACTCCCTCAGGCAACTTCACGCTGGCTTTCCACCAGCCTCATTTTGCCCGGCCTGGTGTGCCGGGAGCCTAGTGGAGGCTTAGGGTTTAGGGGTTTAGGCTTTGGGGAAGTTTAGGGTTTAAGGTCTTGGGTTTGGGTTTGGGGGAGCCCGGTGGCAGTTTAGGGAGGTCAGGGCTGGGGTAGCTAGAGTTCGAGAGTACAGGACAGAATCCTTGTCCGTGGGGTTCTACTTTTTGGACCCCTAAGGTTGTACCTTGGGTGTTGGGGACCCCGGTTAAAGATCCGTAAGGTATCAGGGCCGTATTGGGAGTATTCGTGTCTTAAGGGGAACCTTTAGGGGTACAAGCTTACGGGTACGAGTATTAATCCCTTGAAAGACCGAAAAGCGCTAGTTGGAAACCCAAACCCATGACAATGCGGGTCTCATGAACAAGCTGAAGAGAAGTAAAGAGAAGACCAGTTTCCCACGAAAAGTCTTGAGTCAGATTTAGCTTCCAAAATTGAAGATGTGGGACTTTCACCACAAGATCTGATGGCTGCTGAGGAATACAGTAGATCTAAATTACAAACAAGTCGTCATCCCTCCCCCAAACCCACCAAAACCCACCAAGACCCACCGAAACCCATTGAAACCCCAAAGGTCACCAAAACCCACCAAAACCCACCCAAAACCCACCCAAAACCCGCCGAAACCTACCGAAACCCACCGAAACCCACCGAAACCCACCGAAACCCCCAAACCCACGAACCCCCCAAAGGTCCACTCACGCGGCGTGCGTTCGCTTCTGGCTCCCCCAGCGCTCGCTGGGCGGCTCTCGAGACGACCACCAGGGAGGAGGGCCTCAGGGGGTTCAAGGGTTTAGGGTGTAGGATTTGGGGTTTAGGTTTTAGGGTTTATAGGGTTTTGGGTTTCTAGGGTTTTGGGTTTTCAGGGTTTAGGGTTTCTAGGGTTTTGGGTTTTCAGGGTTTAGGGTTTCTAGGGTTTTGGGTTTTCAGGGTTTAGGGTTTCTAGGGTTTTGGGTTTTCAGGGTTTAGGGTTTCTAGGGTTTTGGGTTTTCAGGGTTTAGGGTTTCTAGGGTTT